GGGAAAGAGGGCACAATAGAATTAGAATCAAATTCGGAAACCATTATGATGAGTAATTAAAGGGCGTGCTTGTAACAACGATTGCCAAAAATGATGTTTATGCACTACTGTCACTGGGACGTAAAATGACCCGTCACACAGACATTAGCTTAGAACACGCTCAGTTCTCCATTAAGAAAGAATGAAAAGTAAAAGTAAACATGATGATGAAGATGAAGATGAAGATGATACAACATTAGGATGTATCCGAACTTTCACCCTCACTCCACCAAAAGCTAACCGATAAACTGGTAGTCAAAGACCGCACATAGTGCCACCATTTTGGTGGGATATATAACATTTCGCCTTCCTCTAAAATACAGTCTACAAATTCCAACTCTTGCACCTTGGGAAACTTCCCTTCATCTATGTCATCTAAATCAACCTTCAGACAAAAGAATTTTCTAATCAACATGGAGACACAGATTTCAAATAACCAAAGCAATAAATATAAATAAAACAAATAAGAGAATGGATGGCACAGTTTGGGCCGTATAAATGAAATTGTAGTAAAGCTAAACCAGAATCAACACCCCTATAATGTTTCCACTTTGCATCATAGCAAATTCGTAAACCTATCACATTGTATACGTAAACTGCAAAAAATTGTTCATTACTTCATTATACTACAATCATATTCTTATGAATTCTACTTTCTGTTGGCAGCTACTCTTGGACAATAATAAGCATTGCACTTGTAGAAGAATCATTTTCGTCACAACTAACTTATTCTCACAAGTCATAACAGATCTAAGATGGAATTTTTTCGGTTAGTTATAATAGTTTAAATACTTCACCACTTGGCTACCTGGAGCCCTGGACAATCTGTAGCCGGTGAAAGGATAAAAATGCCTAGTCATATATGAGTATTAGAGGACATTGTTAGGATATAAACAAGGTCTCATATCATTAGAACAAAAGAAAAAATAAAAGTTTATAAAACATATACATACTCCATTAGTCAAAGGTCTTTTGAATAATGGTCAAAAGCAAAATCATGAGAGTGCAAATTTAAAGTTGACAATATCTTACCATCGTGAAGTTGTGTGTGCAAATAGAAGATAAAAACAAGATATAATAACCCTCCTCTTGATGATACATCAATCTCAAACAAGTACAAAACATAGCCCTATCAGACATAACAATAGGACAGAGAAAAAATTATACATTAATAAAATACTTCAAGAACTCTGGCCACTTAGATGGGATGCAATGATAGTGTTATGCTTCCAAGCAGAGACACAAGTAGACAGCACAAGTTGTTCAATCATACAGTTCAAAAAACTAATTACCTGGCTGGAGTTGCTGAGCATGGTACCAGAGTAGGGAAAAAGTTCCTCAGAAAAAGATGAGGAGTAAAGCCTAATGTATTTTTTTCCAACAACCTAGAAGTATGAAAATGATTTCAGTCAAATAGATTAGTATATTCCATGGTGCACAATAATCCTTTGCATGATACAGCTATGGCTATTAGTATGATGTTATAAAAATAATATAGAAATTTTTCTGCAACGAAAGTGTAAGCAACATCTTCTAAACAATTTAAATAACAAGGATATGATATAAATTATAATGCCATCCTCATATATTATAGATCTCTCTTAAAATAAGCCATAGTACATCCAAACTTTGTATTTTATCTATAGCTTGAATAACATCAACTATGCCATGTCAGCTATTTCAGTAATAATTACTTAGTGTACAACTGTACATGTGCTCAAAAAATGAGGGCCACAACTAACAGCTAGTGGTACATAAAATGAATTCTGTGTGTGGTTGGTTGGGTGGGTGGAGTTGATAGAGGTTGTGTAAAAGACAGCTCTGTTCTGTACAGCTGAGTTACCTGAGCTAGTATGTTATGATGTGGATCATGATGTAATGGGGTTACTGTTCCTGCTGGACCAAACCAAGCATTGAGAGATCGTAGCTCCCCTCCACCAGCAAAACAATAGTCAGGAATAAAGATATCTTTCCGAAGCTCATTTATCTGCCATTTCAGTGATATCAGTAACTGGAAGCCACTCAAATCCTGCACTTGCTAAAAAATGAAAAAGTTGATTTGGAGACGATATAAATCTAAATTGTAAATACCTGATCAAATAATGGATGCTGAGCAAGATATGTAGGACCACCAGGAGAACATCCATCAGACTTTATCCGCTGAAGAAACTCTGAAAATGTAATTAGCTCTTGCTTCCACTCAGTACATAGATAGTTTTTCCCAACCTGGAAAAAAAAAAAAGTGGCATTCACCATTTTTCTCCCAATATTTACCTATAAATTAAAAAAATATATATAATACATACAAAAATCCACTCCACCCTGTTCTCCTCCCTTTGTGTGTGTGTGTGTGTGTAGGGATTTCTTGTATACTGCTAAACAAATTCCAACAGCCTTGCCATGAGGTAAATGCAACATAAATACAAATGGTACTAGATGTAGCATATATGTTACAATGTAAAGACACGAGGTACTGCAAACATTCCCTTCACACAAATCATAAAATTATTCAACTTTTGTCTCATTACCTATTTTTAATTTCAGTTTTAACAACTTAGTGGATAAAAAAGAATCTACAATGGAACATCCTAGTAAAAGGAGGGGGGGGGGATCCTCTCTCAAACTGTTGCCACCAAACAAAATTTATTCAATTGTTAGATGCATTATAGGTAAAAAGTTCAGGCATTTCTACATATAGCATTTTTAGGCCTATAAAACCCAACAGATTTCAAGGGATTAGATGCAATGCAATAGATTAACTGCATGGAAGTATGTTCCAAGTGAATGATTTCCTAGGTAATGAGTTGATGACCAACTTTGGTTGCCTGAAGTCTGTAGACATAAATTCAGGAAATATAATTTACATAGAGGACAGCATATAAGTTGCAATCAAAGGACAATTCCATCATCAATGTAACTTAAGTGCAGCAAGTTTGTGTTTGTCAATAACTATCCCAGGTGGACTTTTCCATTTTCACTCAAACTTTACTCTCAACATCTCAATATTCTTTTCTCTCCATTTGTCCAGCTTGAACGTTTTCCCCACAGACTAACCGATAAACTTCCCAAGCTCCTGGTAAAAAAAGTAGTTACAAATAATATTACCTGCAAACAACTTACATTTCATAATTTAGCTTGAATCCAGCACAGCAGCTACTACTACACATATATTTCCCAGGAGCGAGTTAAGTTACAGTTTGCTAATTATTCATTAACGTGAGTTAAGCTTAACACATAACGATAGAAAATTGTCAACCAGCCATCAACATTTTTCTCTGGAAAGAAGAAAATTAAACAAATACATCCGATCTCAAAACCTTCAACTCTCCACATTTGTTCCTCACAGAAGACCAGGTGCCTTCCTTAACAATCACAGATATATCAATCAAGGAATTACCTCAACCGGAACCGTGCGGTCACCAGCAACACTTAGCAAGTAGTCTTCATTATTCCATTTCATCTTGGCCGGCCAGTGAGCCATACAATCACTGATAATAACCGGGGAGCCAGACAGGTAATGATCCTTCAGGAATTTCTCCAACGACAACTCTGATTTCTTCACCACAAGCTTCGAAGAAAGTGACTTCATAGGTAAAAGTTGGAGCACCTACAGTGTAAAAAGCTATAACATAAACGTTAGAACACAAGAACCGGCAATACATAAAACAAACCCAGCCATAACACATAAATAATCAAATTCCAATATTAATGAATAATCAATCAGTGACGCTAACACTACATGTTCTATTCAAAAAAATAGTTTCGATTAACATGAATATTTAGCTATTTAAATAAACTTCACGATTGAGATTTGGCAAATGCTGATTAAAACTGAACGATGAAAGAGAACAAAGAGGAACGGACCTCACCTCTGCTACATTAAACTCGCGATCCACGAGTCGGTGCTCGGAGTTCCCCAAATCGGAAACCCTAGCGCCGCCCCTCCGTGTTTCTTCCGCCACTTTCTCAACGGCGGAGTCCAAATCCTTTCGGAGGAGCGTCCCTCCCATGATGATTCCCAAATCCAAAACCCTAAGCGCCTCCCTGAACTCTCCGTTGGCGTAGTGGTGGCGCGCCACGTGGAGGCACGCCATCGAGTACGCGTCGCGCCACGCCGGCAGCACCGAGTGCCACGGCCCCGAGTGCAGCTGCTCCCACGCCATCTCGCGCGCTGCCTCCGCCGCGCGAAGGTCGCCGCCGGCCGCCAGCGCCGCCATGCTCACGTAGGCGTAGCCGCCGTGCTCGGAGATCGAGTGCAGCAGCGCCGCGGACTCCCGGTCGAGCGTAGGCGTTTGGAGGCGGCGGGAGGGAGAGTCGGCGGCGGATGCGGTGGTCGTGGACATTGGTGCGGCGGCGCTGGGGGAGAGCTCCGACGACTCGATCCTAAAACTTAAAAAGTGAGACTATAAGAAAAAGTGCTTGATGATTGATGCTCCCGCTAGTTGAGATATTTCTAAGAATCTTAGGACCCAAATGTAAATAATCATTGCCAATCAACCACTATTTATTATAAGCTTCTCCAAAGATATTTTCCCTTTCTTTGCACACGGATATTCAGATATTTTTGTCTATTTTTTTATATTTTCTTGTCTCCACTCTCCACGTTATAGCGTTTTCGTGTTTTTGCTTTTATTTTATTTTTTCGCTTCATTGCCCTGCCACGTGTCTCTCACTTTTTTCTTTGCTTCCACGTATAGTATCAAGCCACGTTTTTTACCAAAGCATCACAAAATTTTCCAACTTATGCATTTAAATAAAGTCAAGCCACGTTTATTGGCAAAACATCACAAAATTTTTGAAATTATGAAGTGAACTACAACCCAAAAAAATACACTTTTCATGAGGGCATGATGGATTTATAAGGTTATATATAGGTGACACATGCATAATTTATTAATAGTATTAATAAAAAAAATTAATCACGTTTGTCAACACTTTTTCACGGTGATTTTTTTTTTTTTTTGTGTTGTTTATAAAATAGCTATCATACGTTGTAATGAGCATTTGACCATGTTGGTAACTTTTATTGTGCAAGTTGCTGTACAATGATAATTGATTAGTAAGAGATATTTTGGATCAAGAACTACGGATATTTGAATGTTACAGTACTTCAAATTCAACTAATATCAAAGACAAATATCACAAAGAGATTATTTTGTCTCCTCCCATAGAGAATAGGAGACACGGTGTCATACTATCATTTATTCATTATTTGCAAATGAATGATTTTGGTTCATTAGAACAAAAGTCTTGCCGATATGATATTGTGCAAACTAGAGATATTACATGGTTATGAAATGATATGTGGCCCAAAAATCTAATTTAAAAAGATCTTCCTACTCTTAGCTCTCTTCTTTCAAGTTTTGATTCATAAATCAAAATTGGTGTTAAGAATTTATCTATTAATGATAGACCATCTTTCAAAGTTGGATTTACTTGCTGATAAGAAGTTGTATTGCAGATCCACTCAGCATTTTAATTTTAGGTTTTGTGATCAAAATCTTTCTATTTTTTATTTTTGTGATAGTAAAAATTAGATACCAGTAGTAAGATTATTCTATATAAGAGAAATATTGGCAACTGTAATGTGATTTTTAATAAATTTGAATCAATGATAAAAAAAAGGGTTAAAAACAAATTTTTAGAAAGAGTAATATTAACATTCCTCTTACATATATAATTGGTATATGTGAAACTAAATCTTTTAGAAAGTTTTAACTTACAATTTAACCTAGAACATAATTTTGATATGTTTCATATAAAAAGATTTACATTTACATCTAATAATGTGTTCTTATATCACTTTAAATGTTTCACACTTTATGCAATCATTATCGTAGTCAATTTTATTAAATAATGTCGTATATGTTATTGAATTCTTTATATAACATTTGCCTTAATGTGTAGAAATTAATAAGGTTTGGCCTCAGTTACATAAGGTCGAAACCAATTAAAAATTGTCTATCAAGGTTTGGATAATTTGAGCTTTAATGCGCATCTAATAAGATATAAACTTTTAATGAGTAAAAATAAAGGATGATTCTATTTGTGTAATGAATTAAAATAGAAATATCCAAAAGATAATTATAGGATTGTTGGTAATATATGTTATGGTTTTAGGTCACACATTATTTCTATCTTTCTAAACCTTATTATTAGAAGTTAGTAGAGGAAAAATCAAAGAGTCATTTTAAGGGAGTAAGGATTACGATGTGAATTAAATTTGATAATGTGAATTAAATTTGATGGTCAATCTAACTTTTTTTTTTTTTTGTGGTTGAATTAGTTAGATAAATAAATTCATCAACACATTTAACCCATTCCATCAAACACACTAACCCGGTGAGTCCAATCCACTAGTTTAGTAAGTCAACTCACCAAACCATTTTTTTTTACAATCTTAAAAGATAATATTATAGTGGATTTATGTTGCATCAATATTTTTTATTTTATAGTTTATCTTTTGTTTTTAGATATTTATTCTCATTATATAAGAAATAAAAATATCTTATTTTAACCACATGTTTTTACTAGTACATTTTCATGTATAGTGCCTTTTTTTTAAGAGTGCATTTTATTTTGACATTTTGTTTGAGTTGCATTAGTTTAAATTAAGATTAATTTTCAAGCTTATAATTTAATTATACATATTAGTGGAAAAGAAAGCACTTCATGCCTTTGTGATAACTTCTTTTGAATACATATATGTTAGTTGGATAGTGTGTGGTTATCGATAGTTTTAAAACTAAAAATTCTTTGAAAAAGACTTTTCTGTTTTCTATCGTACAATTTATATAATATTCATAAAGGGTTAAATTTGTCACAAATAATGTGTACACCAAAATAAGGAATTGACTTTATATATAAGTATAGATATATTACTTTGGTCCTTGCATGAGAAATATAGCCCCTCTAATCAATTTTTATAAATAATAATAAAATTATAGGTTAAAATAATGTGTATGGAAATTTTTTAATTGATATTTTTTTTTAATTTGGACGTGTTGAAGATGAGTCAGCTTGTCAATTTATTAACTCGTTAAAGTGAGTCAACCCATCAACTCACTATTAAGTGCAGATATTACATTCTTCAAGCCATTTTTTTATTGTTGGCCAACCCATCTTACTCTGTTTCTTTTGTGGGTGTTAGGCTTACCCGAAAATCATGTGACTCGAAAAAGGGTGTGAAAATTACTCGAAACAAAAGATAAAGGTTAAACACCTACCAAGATTAAATTGAGAGCCTTATTTGTTTACATGGGAATGTGTTCGAATAGAATTAATTAAATTGAACAAAGGAGTGCTCGAAAATTTATCTGTTGTTCATTAAGGGGTTAAGCTATAACGCGGTCTCGATAGCAACTCGAGAATGTAATAGTAACTCGAAATTGTAGAGGTGTTATTGAAGGGATCTTAACAGTTAAGGCACACTAAGGTAGTTATTAAGGGTCGAATCGAGTAAAGTTGAAGCGTGAGGCGAACGATTATGGGAAGTTACAATTTAGAGTCACGTAACAAGCATAGTGGATAGCGGTTATCCCCTAGTGGCGTACATGCATGAAATTAACCGTTCTTGATTGGCTCTATAAATACAGAAGCTACGTACCTTCACGGAGGTCGGAAAAACTCATACTTGAATTAACTTCTGAAGCACTCTCTGCCTACACACATATGATTTTCGTGCACAAGATCGTTTTTGGGTATGATTAACTCTCGGTCACTTGTCTTTTGTTTTATAGGAGTAGACTTAGCATTAGTTCTCTTAGTTATTTCTTTTAATCACGTAGTTATATTACTTTGATATTATTGTAACTCTGGAACATTATGCAAGTTGAACCATGATTTGTATTGCAAGTATCTCAATTATTCATTCTGTTCATCTTAGCATTTACATGTATGGGAATTATTGCTTGTTAATTATTGAAGAATCTTTAAGAACAAGTAATTACTAAATCTTCCTACTACTCCTCTTCTAGTAGATTAAAACTCAGAAACATCACATATCTAAATTGAAACGTTTTTCGTGCTAGTTCAAGTAAAAAGAATCCATAAAACAAATTCCACCGTAAACAGTGGGTCAACTCGTTTCGCTTTACTTTAGGTGGATTGACCTAGTTTACGTTTCCTACAAGGGAGTATATGTAGATTTTGGAAGACCTAATCGCTTAACTCGAAAGTGGACTTGGTTATCATGAATTTAGGTATAATTTCATTTACTTTCTTTTTAATGATTAGCATGATTTGGTATTTTAGTCCTACATGATGATTTTTATCTAGGGTTAATTTTTGTTTCAACAATTGGTATCAAAGTTTAGTTATGTTTGATTATTAAAAAATTTGTCTTTTATGAAAATTCAAATCATTCATGTAGATAAAATTAAGAATAGTAGTATTGCATGGATTCAATCATTTTAATTCAATTAAAAATAATGACCACATATTTTTAATGTATGGTGCACATTTATTTATGTTGAATCTTCAAGTCATCAGATAATCTAAGTAAAAAAAATGTTCGATTATTTTAATCTTATAGTGGCTCATATAATTTATAGAATGATTTTAATGTAAAGGTTTTTGATGGGATAATTCTTAGACTTAAGATGTATTAAAGTCATGGAAATTATTTTAATTTATTCAAATAAATTCTATCCCTTCTCATTTTATTATGGATAGTTTAGTATTTTAGAAATTTTTTTTAATGATATTACGGGAAGTTATAGAAGATGTTGGTTTTCATTTTGAAAATCAATAGAAAAGATAACTTCTTTACTAGCATTTTTTATGTACGATTTCAAGAAAAAGAACTAAAAATGCCAAACAATCAAAAAAGAGAGCAAGAGAAGAGAAAAGATTTTAAGAGACACAGGAAGAATATATTAAAGATGATAATATAGATTTGAGTAAGTTCTTAAATACTCCTATAAATATTACATTATATAACGGAAGTAAAAAATATATTATCTAAGGGGATGTATTGGTTTAGGATTTCGTAGAATTTTAAAAGATTTTTTCTTGTCTAGCCATGTATTAAGTATAGGTGTTACCTAACTACATTCCATTTGCATGTGTTGTCTTATATAACTCATGCATATTTTGTTTGGAGGTAGTGGTATGCGATCTAATTATAAAGGTCTCCATGATCTTCTATCTTAGGCCTTATGAGTTTTAATAATAAGGAACATGTTGTTAATACATGTGATGTGTGGAAAGTTGTGTTTTTCTGATTGATTATTGTTGTATTTTTGTTATAAAGAGAATGAATGTGTCGTTTACCCATTATGTGGTAATTTGTGTTTTTCATGTATTTCTAGGTTGTTTCACCAATGCATTATGCTAATAATACTACATGCATATACAATTAAGAGCACGAGAGTTCACGAGTCACTAGGTTTGAGTTGTGTATTTGTGTTTGAGTCATATTGTTTGGCATGTTTTAATTTACTACTTGTCCTTCTTGCACATGCTTTAAACTTGTGTAAGATATATTCTTACTCTCCTGTTTTATATTATTTGGATTAATTGTTATTTTCAAGTGAATATCACATTGAGTAAGATAAGATTACATATAACATATTACTACGAGAAACATATGAGATTAGAGTAGAGATATTAATTTTATTGATATTATTAATTATTTATTGAACTTATGTTGATTTTGAAAAACTTTTTGCAAAAATACATGTAAGTGTTTAATTACTTTTTTTTACTTATTTTTTTATTTAATAAAATCAACTATATAAGTTTTTTTATTCACTTATTTGAACAAGGAGATTTTTTCTTCACTTTTTTACTCTCTTTTTTTATTATTAGATTTTAAAAGAAAAAGAAAGAGAAAAAAATTACGTTTAAATTAAATTGACTATATAAAGTTTATAAACTCACCAAGTGCCTAACAAAGTATAGGCAGTGCCTATTGGTGCTTTTGTAAGCGACACGGATCGCGATCCGTGGCTTAAGTTGAGGAAAGACCTCATCCGTTGATTGACACCGGCATCAACGGTGACATTCGCGCGGCTGAATCAAAATTTCGCAGAATGAAAAATGAAAAATTCCCGCTCAACCTTTTTTGGCGATGTGTACCCCTATAAATACACCCCGTCACACGCAACTCAAACAAAACAAACACCACTCTCATTCTCTCTCTCACTCTTCGAATCCTCCTTTGCGATATCAATGGCTCGTACCAAGCAAACCGCAAGGAAGTCCACCGGAGGAAAGGCTCCGAGGAAGCAGCTGGCGACGAAGGCCGCACGTAAGTCTGCTCCGGCCACCGGCGGCGTGAAGAAGCCCCACCGTTTCAGGCCGGGCACGGTGGCGCTGAGGGAGATCCGCAAGTACCAGAAGAGCACCGAGCTTCTCATCAGGAAGCTTCCTTTCCAGAGGCTGGTGAGGGAAATCGCTCAGGATTTCAAGACCGATCTCCGATTCCAGAGCAGTGCTGTCTCTGCTCTTCAGGAAGCCGCCGAGGCCTATCTCGTTGGTCTTTTTGAAGACACAAATCTCTGCGCTATTCATGCCAAGAGAGTCACCATTATGCCCAAGGATATTCAGCTTGCTCGTAGGATTAGGGGCGAGAGGGCTTAGGGCTTTCCTTCTGTATTGTAATCGATTGCTTTCACTTAGCAGTAGTGTGAAATTTCTAGTTTCGGTGTAAGTGGAATAACCCTATCTGTAATTTGAGGATAATCAAGTTTAATTTGAATGTTTAAGTCTTAGCATTGTTTGTATCCTTAGACAGGTGATTTTGATTTAAGCTTTTAGCTTTTGAATCCATTAAAATCCTTATTTAAAAGTCTTGCAGAATCCATTAAAATCCTTATTTTAAGTCTTATGGAATCCTGCAAAATCTTAAAAGTCATAAAAATATTGTAAAGTCTTTTAAAATCTGCAGGATTTTTTTTAACTAAAAAAGTAATTTAAAATCTTAATCCAATACACTTCCCTAAGAATCATGGAGTAAGAGACACAAGAAGAACATCGCTTTGCTGTTCAAAAATAAATAAAAAAAGAACATCATTAAAAATTACAATATAGATTTGGATAAGTTCTTAAATCTTATTAACATAAAATAATATAATAGAAATGAGAAATATAATAATTAATTTTCTTAAACGGTAAACTAAAAATTACCATAACAGTATAATTTGCTTTCATCTGGTTTAAGGTAACCAAAAATGAATCTAAATAGGAAAAAAAAAAAAAACCTCTGCATACCCCGTTTATTTGAGAAGTAGGTAGCAACATTTTTTCAGTTTAAGATCCCAATTCAATTTCCTTAGTTTCCCATGAATATCCATTGGGAATTGTACCAAATTGCTGGACTAATGGCTGAACTTGAAAAGGATAAGTATACTAATAAGAGCATATGCAAGCACCTCCTATGCCACATCATTGTCAAAAGTAATTCTACTAAAATTTAAATAATTCATAAAGTGGGCCAGAACTGATTTGGCAGTGATGTAGCTTAGAGGTTATTTATAAGCAACCCTCAATGCTCTAAGCAGAGAAAAGGAACCGCAACTGTGAAAATTGTACCAATTTGCATTAAATGGATTCCATTTCAGTGTAGGTTGTTTTTGTGTACTTTGGACACTTTGTAATAAGCAAGGACGAATAAGGCTACCGACACCGCTAATCAATATTTCAATCATACAATATCTAATTAAAAAGACAAAGAGGCAGGAGTTACATATTGTATATAAAACGATTAATAGAGTGGAAAAGAAAATAAACTGCAAAGAAGATTAAAAACAAGTATACCCCAAATATAATCGTTTCAGATTATATACAAAAGTAAGCACGATTGCAGAAGATATAGCCAGTGAATTATGAAACCGTTAGCACTGAATACATGATATGACATACTGAACCATTAATGGAAATATATATGCTGTAGCAGGGGATTATGATGTAGAAAAATAAACAAAATAGTGGAATATTAATGAGGGTCCTCCATTAAAGCATGAACCTACACAAACATCAACTTTATAGAGTTTTTTAAAATTAACTCAATGGCCTATAGGGTGGTTGTTGTGATGAAGAGGGTCAGGTCCCGTTGGAACTTCTCTCTCTGACTCTTCTACTCTGCCACCAGAAGCAGCTTCTTTCCCAAATCTCGCAACCTAAAACCAAAACTTTAACCTCATATCACCAAAAAGAAGAAAAAAGAAAAAAGAAAAAAAAGAGACCCAAATAACATGTAAAGATTTTATGTATGTATATCATATTCATATATACCTCAATGTCTGTTGCTGTAGACTCGCTTCCTACCATGTTTGTTGGATACATAAAACCTGCATGTATATTTTTTGTCAAGCAATGGTTTACTACTTTAATGCAACCAAAAAGAAGAACGAGTGATTCTGTTGAACTCACTTGAACTAGAGGATTGAATAAATGGCAGCAAAACAAGGAAAATGAAAATGATGACAGGGTTCAAGAGGCAAGGGAGAGGTTTCTTGATGGCCATTGTATGCAAAGAAGAGAGGAATGAATGGAATAAAGAACAACCCTTTAAATTTTTTGTCACTCTCTTGAAAGCTTCCTTTTTTTCCTTTCTTTCTGGCCAGAAATGAGGAAGCTTTTTGAAAACCCCTCCAAAAAGATTGATGGGTGGGAGTGAGTGAGGAGACAGTGTAGGAAATGACAATTTTTTTTTTTTTTTTTTTTTGTGTTTTTGCTGTGAGATTTGAAATGAAGTTGACGATATGAACCTCATGGTTTTTTAAGAAGTAGAGGGAAGATAAGGGTTAATGAGAAAAACACAGGAGGGGGCAAAGTTGGTACAGTGTGACAATGATGGACACTATTCCGAGGTAATGAGACGTTTGACAGTCTGGCACGTGTCAGGTAGACATCCTCGGAGGTGTTTTGGCGCCGTCACTGACCAGGCACGTGGCTTTTCATTATTGGTGGGAAGCTGAAGAAAAACCGCGTAAAGATATGATCTACCTCCAATCATTTTGGGTGGGGTCACTTCACCGCACTCTCACCATGCTTGTCTTGTAACCCACCCATTTCTATTGTTTTACTAAGATTTAGACAAACTTCTGATGTTAGTGTTGAATTCTTATGAGATTACAGGTTTATATCAATAGAAAGACGTGAGTTACTGTGTTAAATTGTAATTCATGTAATAATTTTAAATATTAAGTCAATTTTAAGCGAGTTGTTTTGAGTAATTTATGTTGATTTGTTAGTTTAGGTAAAAATTATTTTGTAATGCACTTTTCAATTATTTTGCTTTTTTTTTTTAGAGATCAGTCTCTTGATTAAACATTCTCAATATTTCTCTGTTCTACACTTTGTTGCTAGTGGCTTGCCAAGTCAGAATTCGGAAAGTTTTTCAGTAGTCAGTCTCATAGATCTGTTCTATTGACATTACGAATTTTGACCAGATTTTATAGCATTAGTGACATTAAATTCCGATATATCTAATGGAATTTCAATTTATAAGCCATGTAGAAGCATATAATATTGTTACTGATTTTATGGAATAAAGGGCAACCAAGATCCATTCAAATGAGTATATAATGAGAAATACACGTGAAATTCTAGTGGAATTTCACTGCACGATGCATTTTATTTAACCATAATGTTTTGTTTATTGTAAGACTCGAGTGCTTTTGTCATTGCACAAATGACAAGCTAGCAGTAGCATATAAGTATCAACATGTTTCACCTTGATCTAATGATTTCTTCTTTCATGGCAAGTGACAAAGCACTAAGATTGCCCTCATTCTCTAATTGCACACCTGGCATGGCCACTGCTCTACTCCCTACAAACCCATCTTCTCCTATTTTGATCTTTCCAAACTTCACCATCCCTCCTCCTTCATACACATGTCCAAAGAGCAAGGCTTCTCTTCCTACACACCCCCCTCTCTCAATCTTCACCATTTCAGGGTTTAACAAGGCTCCCATGCTATCCACGTAAACTGCATGTTCCATATCCACATCTGCACCCATCAACTTCATCCACATCACAAACCAAAATGATCCACATGTCATGTCCATGAAATAGTCTCCAACTAAGGTTCTAATAGCCTGCCATGTGCTGTCCAATGTGATCCTTTGACTCCATATAGGAACTGTTTCACCAGCTTTCTTCCTTCCTACCAGAATCCACTTGGCCATCACACATGCTAATGCAGCTAAGGCTCCTGAGAGAACCCAAAACAAGGGTAACAACCAATATATTGGAAGCTTCTTGGCACTCTTCAGGTAAACAACACAGTTCAAGGGAGGAAAAATTGCCAAACCCAACACCATGTGAGGTAACACTGTTTGTAGCAGTGGTTGAGTGAAAAGTGCTGAGAAGTTCTGATACCATGTTCTGGTCAAGGTCACTTTCTGTGAGTCATTTTTCTGCACCAAATTACCGAGTTTTTTCTTGCTTACCATGTCCATCTCTTCTATCCCCTCATCATAAGCATTCTTCACTGAGTTCCTTATGACAACTTGGGTTTGTGATCCAATGTAGACACCACCCTCTTGGAGTGTAGAATTCATTGGAGCAACTGAAAGTGCTCCAAGGATGACATTCTTTTGGACTAGTGAACCAGGAAGAATTAGACTCTGACTACCAATAACAGAATTGTCCTGAACCTCAATTTTTCCACTTACATATCCACTTGAAGAATGAAAACCTGTAATTATCCGACTAAAATCACCGAGATGGACACCGGCACCAATTGACATTAACTCTGGATATGAAACTGGGTTGATGGCTCTAATGGAACAATGCTTGCCAATTTTTGCCCCCAAAAGGCGTAAATATATGCAGAAGGCTTCTGTTCCTGAGAGAAGCTTTGCAAATCTAAGGTGGCAGGAAGTTGTCACTTGACATCGAAGCCGGGTTTTAAATTCGGTTTGGTTTTGACTACTTTTGAGGAGGCGAGTAAAAGCAGTGGAGAGAATAATGAGTATGAAACCATGAAGCAAGTAGGCAGTGGTGAATGCAATGGCAAAGGTAATGTAATTTGATGAGACTTTAGAAAACATGGTAGCATATGCAATGATGGTAAACGGGATCCAATGGAAGGCCCCACATATGCAAACAAAGGAAAAGTGTTGAGGTGATGGAGGTTGCTTGAAGAATCTAATATATAACAAGTAGGCAACAACAGCAGAAAGAGAGCTGAGAAAGCCAACGAGGTAGATTCCCATAAAATGGTAGATAATATCATGTTGAATTTTGTTGGTAATAACTGGGAACTCTGCATTCTAAAATAAATGTGGAAAGGTATTAGTTAATACTTAAATGTTCGATTGTTATCTGTATTGAATTTATGTTGTAGATATAGACATGCATGACCACGACTTGCAGATCCCCCAATAAATAGAGAAAAATACTACAAGAGTTATTTATGTGAAATGATGAAATTTAGAGCAAAAAAGGATGAAAATGCCTTATTAGTAGTAGCAATATAATGGAACCCCAAAATTAAACAAACTACTTGGTGATATCGTGTGTGTGTGTGTATTGAGAGATAGAGAGAGAAAGAAAATGCCAAATATAAAATGTAACCTAAAATATTTGTTCAAAATATATAAATACTTTTGTAAGCATTGTGTTACTTGTACATAACATACCTTATTATCATTATTAAGCTTTGCAGGTTTGAAGACATGTTGGCCTTGGCCAAACTTTTGCAAGGCCTGCACCTCTGCACCTTCTCCAATAACACTTCCTTTTTGGATAACAGCATAAGGTCCAGTGGAAGAACATTTGCCAATACTAATAGGATGGAAACTTAAAACGCCATTCTTTACCTCGTGGCTTTGAATCAAAACACCTTCAGCAATCACAACTTCATCTCCAATTGATACCAAAGATGGGTCAGTGATATCAATTGTATCAAGTAAAACTGAGGATCCAATTCTAGCACCCAGCATCTCAAACCAGTGTTTCAGAAACACTGTTCCCCTGAGGTGTACCGCCAGAACTTTAGAAGAAATTTCTTGAACCTTATATAGAGCCCACCATTTGACAAAATCCATTGAATAGATAGAGATTTCAGAGGTAAGACCATAATTTGGTCCCAAGAAAGAGCTTCTAAGCAATGAAATGCAAATGCAAGTAGAAGTAATGCAAAGAATCCAAGCAAGAGGTGCAAAAGTCAGGGAAATTAAGTAATTCAACCAGGGAAATCCTTCTATCCATTCACTGGAACTTTCTATGAAATTTAGATAAGTAGTGATGGATAGATATGCAGGAGATACCAACATGATAGAAATATAAACAAGTGCTAGGAGTTGAAGTACACGGATAGCAAATAGGCGAGACTTGGATACCTCCACAATCAGTTCAGTGGAATCAGTCTCAGCTTCTGGAACATTGGATGGATTGCTTGAAAGTTGAGGCTCAGACTTTGATATAAGATCCTCAGAGAAGTTAGCCAAATCTAGAATGCAAGATGCAGTGAAAACATCTATAGCTGCAACTTGAGTTCCTAAGAAATTTGAGAGTTTTTGAGTTGCTTTAACCACACCAATCGAGTCAATTCCATAGGATGTCAGGTTGTCTGTAACTGAGATGTTGTTGACAGCGATTCCAGTTTGCTCAGAAATTAGCCCTTTCAAGAACTCTACAATTTCATTCTTACTTATCCTTTTTCTAGGTGCAAGTAGCTCAGGTGTTTTTCCTTCTCTTAGCATTCTTGTAGTAAATGATCCTAACCACGACTTCTTTCTTAAAATAGGCCTTTGACCTTCTGGTACCAAGTTCAGTGTTTCGTTTGTGAACTGTTTGACACATTCAAATCTCTTGATTTTTCCTGATGTTGTTTTGCTGATGGTTCTAGGCTTGATCAACTTGACAGAAGCAACACCAACTCCATGTTCTTCTACCACACGAGTTTTAATTTTCTCAATCACATCCTTGCTGACTGGCTTACCATCCCTCACTTCTGCAATCACAACCAAGCCAACCTGATCAGAGCCATCTGGAATGGAAATCCCCTTTGCTGATAAAATTTCTTCAGGGACTCCAATGACAGCACAGCAACCAGGACGAAGAAATTCAGATGAAGTCTCAACTGTCTTTTCAACATCTGCTGAGTAAATATTTCTTCCAGCTACAATGATAAGATCCTTGATCCTTCCAGTGATGAATAGCTTCTGATCTATTATTCGTCCCAAGTCTCCAGTTCTTGTGTAGATATGGCCAGGAAGATTATGAAGTTCATTCCTGAAAGTTTTTTGACTCAATTCTTCCTTTCCCCAGTATCCTATGCCTGCACTTGGACTACTAATCCAGATTTCTCCCTCCTTTCCATCTTCCTGAATCTCTTCACAACTCTCTGGATCAACTATTCTAATATCAACACCCACATTCTTGTGATTAACATATCCACAACAAACTCTTCCTTGCCAATCAACAATGATTGGCTTACCTTCGCCGAATGCACAACAGACAAAAACACAATTTTCTGCTAAGCCATATCCAGGAGCCATCACCTTTTCAGATAAGCCAAAAGGACTTGTTAGCTCAATAAATCTTTTCAGGGTCTTCTGTCTCACTGGCTCAGCAGCAATCATAAGAAAAGTCAAGGATGAAAGGTCTAAATTCTGAAGCTTATCCTTGTTAGACTCCATTTTTCGAATCACTAACTCAAAGGCAAAGTTGGGGCCAGCACTATGAGTTGCTTGATACTTGCTAATAGTTTTAAGCCACAAGAGTGGTTTCTTGATAAATGTCATTGGTGAAAACAAAACTGCAGACCCACCACTAACAAGAGATGTAAAAAGTCCCCCAATTAGCCCCATGTCATGATACTGAGGAAGCCAGCTTACTAGCACTGTCCTTGAGGTGCTCTTGTATCTTCTTCTCATCAACTTTACATTGTGAATTAGGCCACCATGAGTGATCATGACTCCTTTAGCATCAGTAGTTGAACCCGAGGTGAATT